CATGATCTTTATTAAAAAATAGCTATGAATTGTTTTATAGTCATACTATAACCCATCCATCGCCAGGCCTATTGTTGTTGAAAGGATTTTTCCGCGGATAATCATTTAAAAAATTTTTAACACTGGACTTGAGGTCGTTCGCCTTCTTTGGAAATCCTTTTCGTGCTGTTTCTAGGATCCAGCTAGAAATCGATGGCCAAATGTTATAATAGACAATAAATAGTTATATTATTAATCCATTTACTTCACCAATATCATCTCTTCCTCCTCGTTGAGAACAGGTGAGGGACCACAAGTATTTTTGTGATCAGGATGCTTAATTTTAAATCCTATAGTCGATTTCGGAACTCCATATTTCAATTCTGCAGGACTATATGATTCAACTTTGTTGATGACGTCTTGCACTGCCCTATCTATGTTGCTTTTATCATAGTCTTTGACCTTAGGCATTGTTAGTCACTAAAAATAAACATATTATACAGTTATTGGACACTCTATCTCTAATTATTGGACATCCGTCCAATAACTGTTCACAGTGCTCTGAAATATCTTTAGAAAGTATAGCGAAGAAACCTAAACGTTTTTAGTTGATTGGCATAGATTTTACACAAAATGGTTCATATACAGTTATTGGACACCTGTCCAATATTAGAAATTTCCGCATTTCTCGGTTTGATTATTGGACATATTAACTTTTAGGTCATAATAATAGGATATGTGAGCACTCACAATAGTGCGTCTATATATGAATAAACTTAGTCATATGACAGGACAAGCATCACGGTCAAACTAAAAATAAACTAACAGTATTTAAAAACATTACTCTCTATCCTAAACAAAAACTTAACGAATACGTACCAGCACTCACGTGCATCACTTGCTACTTATACAAAACTATTCAGCAAAGCAAAGATGTCGCTGGCTTAGTTTTGAGACCTTGTAAGTGAACTGATATAGCCATCTATCGGTTGATAGACGAAGTACTAAGATTTTGAACCTTATTTTCAGGGATCGTAAGTGAACTGTCCCATAACTGTGTCGTGTCCAATAACTAGATGGGTTTACCCTATGATGAATTTTTTTAGAATGATGGTCCACTATAGAGCGACTAATGTAGTGGCAATCCTCCAGCATCCTGTTTGAAGGCAAGGTCTAAATATCGGAGTTTCGCGGCTGCGATGCTTACTCCACATTTTCGATCTTTAACTCCCTAGCGATAAGGGAACATGCTTTGGTACAATATCGCACATTATTATTATTGAAAGAAGAAGCTTCTGCAGAAGTTTATCGAGCTTATCAGGCAGACTCAGAACTGGGCGGCGTAGTGGAGAAGTGCTTGAATAGAAATTTGGTATCCGTACAAAATAACCAGGGACGGTATCCAGGACCTCAAAACCGATCGGCCGTCAGTGCAAGACAAGCTTGACATAGTATGTCAAGTAAGTGTCACCTATTAGTTGGCTAGCCCTCATTGGAACCTTATCAGGTATAAAAAGCGTAACTCCGCCTAACTAGGCAGCAGTACTCCAGGCATATGGATAACATTCGCTACCTGGGAGAGCTTGGACATCCATCGGATGCGTTTTGGGTGATTTTTGTTAGTCTAGTCTGTTTGTAACATGTATCAAACTACACCAACTTGCGTCTCTAGGCGTCTTACAGAAATTAAGCATAATTTTGACGATATTATTCTGTGAGTTGAGATACTCTAAATTTGCTTATATAGAATGCTTCATCCAATGTAAACAAGCTGTCAGTAGCAAAATGTCAATGCGATGCAAGTGTACAGGCTCGTGTCTCAATTTTACGCCTCATCTCCTTTAGAGCCTGCAGCTATTATGGACGTCCTTAACAATGCTGAAGCTAATTTTTCTTTAATTAGCTGTCACTAACAAAAGACGATCGTCCTGGAGAATATCCGACGATGCAGTTACTTGATGTAGCTACTTATTAGTTGCAACATGAAAATGAAAGAGGTGCCGTGATTGGGAAAAATAGTAGTATCTGTTTTAATTCTAACCCATGGAGAATAAGCTAAAGGAAAAAGGCAAGCCAAAGGCAGTGGATACTTAGTCAGAAGAGAAAATGATAGCTTGGAAAGGTTGACCAAGTGGTGGGAGATCACCAATGAGATAGTCGGATTGAATTCAGCAGGTATTGGACGTCTTCTGTAGTGCCCTAATAGGTGCTAGAGAGCTAGAGGTAGCGACCAGTGGAGAGACTGGGACAACACCGTTTGAAAGCACGATCCGCAGACATTGCGAGAACGATAAGAGAGAGAGCAGTAGGCACTTACTCTTCTCCTGGACTGCTGTCCATTGTAGTGATAGTGTGAGAAGTGAGCGAACTTTGGCGAGCAGTGTATATGTGCTATAGTAGTAAGTATACATTAATTATGGTGTAATCAGGAAATATATTGTATTTGATTGTATTTGGGATAATAACGTTATAGTAAACAACTATCGAGTATGTTTACTTAGCCCTACAATCTGATCACCCTTGTCTCTACATATATCACACCATACTAGCTACTAAATGAAGAAAGACGTCTATCTCTACCTGAAATATGGTATCATCCATGAGGTTCTAGGTCCGGAGATGAAACTCAGGCACGGATTTCACAGGATTTATAAATTTTGAAAACTCATTGTAGCATTTTGATTTTAAATTATTATAAAAAACCATTGGCTTGCATAATGACATTCGGATATCTAGGTGAAAGTTACAAAGTTCTCATTAGCGGGTAAAATTCAGCGCCTGTCTGATATTTGGTTCTTTATAACCAGAAAGACGACCGAATGCTCAACATCTTTGACCTACTGCAGTCAGGATTCGAATTGGAGCAAGAGAGCAACCCAGTTATGACAGATTGGCAATAAAAAGTAGTAACGCTCAGTTACAATTTATGTATTTTTTGTAATTTTATGATTATTTATGATTCATTAGGTTAACGTCCCCGGCAGGAAAGAAAAAAAATCGTCGACTGATCAAAGCAAGCAATAACACTAATGTTTTCTAGCCAGTTACTGTTTGCATTTTACCTCGTTCAAGGGAGGGAATGTAAAACAGTTCATCATCAGGCTTTGATAACTGATTAGAGCAGCTATTGAATCACGGAAAAAATATTGACCCACTAATTGAACTTTTTAGAAAAAAGTTCCTCAATAGTCATTTCGTGCTTTTTATTTTTGTTATTGTTTGTCAGTAGTTTTTGACGACTGACTGTGACTGTTACCTAAGAATCAAGTAACCTCATTAAATTACACTGCAAGCATTACGGTATTACGGCATTACAGGATGTCCTGAAATCTTTAGGAAGTCAACTACGTTTGCATTACAAAAGCTAATTTACGACAAAGCAAAAGCGAGCACTTGAAAAAGAAATAGAAGAAATACACCTATACCCACTTTTCATTTGGTGAGGAAGTTCAAGTACTGCCCCGTCACATAGAGTAAGCACTGCTTGAAGTTGTCGCTGTTTGGTTCAAAAGCAGAGTTTGTTTTCCTCTTTCTAAATTTGCTGGGGCTGTATAGGTTTTCAACGGCTTTCATGATAGAAATAAATGTATGCAGCTGATGGAAAGAAACATCGAAGACGATGGAGTATCTGAAATGTTGAAAAACGAATTGAAGCCTTTTTAATGCTTTTCCAAAGCGACAAACTTTATTTTGTCTTTGGCTTTGTGGCATATTCAGACTAGATAGAAGGAGTCAGTAATGTATTTGTTTGCCTCCTAACTCTTATAGTTTGTAGTCAGGTGAAGTGAGTGTGATTTTTGTTACACAATTGGCAGCTTGATGAAGTTATATGTTCCCAAGGGTGAGTATTTTTATTATTTTGTTGATACAACGCTGTAACTTTGGTAGGCGTTGGTAGTCAAATGAGTAAAAAGTATGCCCTAAAATTGCACAATTTTGCTGACAAACAATATAAACATACTTGGTTCATTTTATTCCATCCGAATTAGTTGGTGCTTTTCAAACTATATCGAGGCCAAGGATTAGTGGACAGACAGACAAAGAAGCAGGCAGATCGACGGACCGACAGAACCGACGGAAATAAATGACATGGTCTTACGAGGCACATCTATCATGTTGCATCCCTTAACGCAAATTGGTGAGAATTGATCCTGTTTTTATTACTTCTAGGGAATAAATGTAGTATGGCTATGACGATGGTAATTGTATGTATCTATTCGTCATTTGTTTGTCTAAGCGGTCCGTAGGGCATTAGCCTATTAGCCATTGTCTGACGCAGGTTAGTCAAACCTATCAGACCCGGTTTCCCAGAAACCAAACAACGTCAAGGAAAAAGAGAAAGGGGAAGAAAAGAAAATGGGAGAGGAGCAAAGAATAACACAAGTGTATCAGTTTAAGAGGAAACCAACTAGTTTTGTTGATTCGATATATAACATAGATTACTTTTGAGGTGAACTGAAAACAAATTTTGATTCAGGTTTTGTTACAGTGCAATTTTGGATTTACTAAGAGTTCGCGCTAATTTTTGATAACAGCTTTACAGTGGCGTGCAAATTTAGGTCCTAGCTCAATGAAGCGGAAATTAGGGAGGGGTGGTGTTAAGAGCGCCAGCGACTCAAGACGGATTAAGCCACAAATCCCGAGATGTTAGTTAGATGTTTTGCTTGACTTTGAATATAGTTGCCGAAACCCAATTTGGAATTTTGTTTTTGACGCTTCTGTATGTTTCTGCCAGATCATGCCTTCATCAAGGGAGACACCGAAATACTCAGCAGAATTTTTCCATCGCATACAATTTCCGTCTACCGATACCTCGGCTGGGGGGATAATAAGTGACATGCTGTATGTAGTATATTGAATGAATAAAAGATCTATTCCCCCGCTGGGTGAACGACGGAGACGAACTTGCCGTCTTATCAGCGAGTCAGTCGGTCGAGCACACCCGCCGGGAGAAGGTCGTACCGAGATATCTGTGTATCATTGTGTGACTGGAAACGAACGTAAACAATAATATTATTTTCATGACACTACATATTGGCGACGAGGACAAAAGGTATGTGGGTACATTTACTCCTCAATTAAAGTATTGATCAAGGTACTAAGATTAAGTGTGAAAACACGTAGAAAAGGCAGAAAAGATAAACTGCGAGAAAAAAAAAAGTTGTTTTGATAATCTATGAATATGACACAGCACTAAACAAAGAATAACTTTCATGAATATGATACATGGAAGAAGTAACCATGAATATGATACATAGGTTGCATAAAGTATAATTTTGATGGATCAGATACATCAAATCAGTGATTATGAATAAGATACATAACACTGTATAACTGGTGAATAAGAAACACCAAAGTCAAGACGAACGACCTCGATGAATAGGACACATCGAACGTTGAATGTATATGTATGTGTTGGGCTACCTTGATGAATAAGATACATCAAGGCATGAATATGAATATGATACATAACACTGCGTAGCTTTGCTGAATATGACACATATATGAACAAAGAATGAATTTGACTTATAAGATCCATCGATCCTAAAATGTATATGCATACACAAAAGTAGCAATTACATTTAATTTCAAAGTGAACCAAATAAACAATAATACTAAAAAAAATTTAGAGCCTCAGAGATAAAATCATGTTTTCGTTGTGGCTCAAAAGGCCACATTTCTTCTAACTGTCCAGCAAGAGAGAAAATTTGCAAGAAATGCGGCTACAAAGGACACGTCAGCAAACAGTGCAGAACTAAGCCGGGGAAAAGAACACACTATGAGAGCACAACGGTCAAGAAATCAAGATACAGAGAGCCAGACAAGGACGACGACGATCACAACACAAACTATGTGTTCCACATTGACAATGATAGTGACATATCATGTATGATTGGAGGAATACCAGTTCAGATGGTAATCGATTCTGGTAGCAAGTGTAACATATTAAATGACGAAACATGGACGTACCTAAAGAATTCGCAGGTATCGGTGTCAAATCAAATAAAACGACCCAAGAAAATTCTCATGGCTCATGCTAGCAAAGAACCGTTAACTATTCTAGGGTGTTATGATGCTGAGATTAAGGTAAGCGAGTTTGTAACTCGGACGACTTTTTACGTAGTACAAAATGGTACGAGAAACCTTTTAGACAAAGATACAGCGAAGTCTTTAGGTGTCCTACGGACTGGAATTTCTGCTCAATCAGAGGTTAATGCCATATCTGCTTTTCCCAAGTTTAAAAATGTTGTAGTCGATATTCCCATTGATCAGAGCATAATACCAGTGATTCAGCCATATCGCAGAATACCAATCCCGCTGGAAACTAGAGTGCTTAAAAAAATTGAGGAAATAGTAAATTCAGATATAATTGAACCAGTAGATGGCCCTTCCAGATGGGTATCACCTATGGTACCTATTCTAAAACCAGATGGGGAAGTTAGACTTTGTATCGATATGAGAAGAGCAAATATGGCGATACTAAGAGAAAATCATCCATTACCAACAATGGATCAGATAATGCCAAACTTCAGAAAAGCAAAACTTTTTTCAAGGCTGGACGTAAAAAAATGCTTTCCATCAAATCGAAATTAGCCAAGCATCGAGACCTATTACTACATTTATGTCTGGCAAAGGTCTTTTCAGATATAAGCGTTTAATGTTTGGTATTTCGTGTGCCCCAGAGATTTTCCAAAAAATAATGGAACGCATTCTGACTCACTGCGAAGGAACTGTAAATTTTATAGACGACATAGTCGTATACGGCGAAAACGAACTGGAACATAATAGAAGATTGAAATGTACACTCAATATTTTGATAGAAAACAATGTCCTTCTCAATGAGAATAAATGTGTTTACAATATTGCTGTCATAAAATTTCTGGGACACGAACTATCAAGACAAGGCATCAAGCCGCTTGATAAATACATATCGGTAATCAAAACTTTCCGATGCCCGGAAACTGTGGACGAGTTGCAGAGTTTTCTAGGACTTGTTAATTATATGGGTAAATGGATCGCTAATTTAGCGTCTATGACAGAGCCTCTAAGGAAATTATTGCGACTAAAATTAGCAAAACATGCAAATATATCCAAGTATTTTAAGGATGAACCAAAATGCAGTTTTAACCTTTTGAAAGAATGCTTGTGTAAAATTAAATCGTTAGGATACTATGACCCTAAAGACAGGACTCAGGTTATAGCCGATGCAAGTCCTGTAGGGCTGGAGGCTGTCCTAATATAGTACGATTCAGAAGGGCCAAGGGTAATTGCTTATGGGAATAAAAGCTTGACTGATTGTGAAAAAAGATATTGTCAAACAGAGAAAGAAGCCCTGGCATTGGTCTGGGTAGTTGAATATTTCCATATGGAAAGGACAAGTTCGAGTTGGTTACAGATCATAAACCGCTCGAAGTAATTTTTAGTATAAAATCAAAACCTTGTGCCCGAATAGAGCGTTGGGTTTTGAGGCTACAGTCGTACAACTTTGTAGTTATATATCGTCCAGGTAAAAGCAATAGTGCCGATCCCCTCTCCAGGCCTTGTAAATTAGCACCAAAAGAAAATTCTTTTGATGAGGGGGAGCATATCCATCAAATTGTAGAATATTCACGACCCATGGCATTATCATTATCACAAATCAAAGAAAAATCCAACACCGACGAAGAAATTCGCAAGGTTTACAAAATGATTTACTCAAACGAATTCGATGAAATCACGAAACCCTTCCAAGCATTCATACCAGAGTTGTGTTTCTATGACAACATCCTTCTGAGAGGAACCAGAATAGTGATTCCTGCTGATTTAAGACTTGCAGTTCTTCAAGCAGCCCACGAAGGCCATCCCGGAATAGTGGGAATGAAGAACCGTTTACGTACTAAAGTTTGGTGGCCTAAAATGGACACAGATGCAGAGAAGTTCGTAAGAGCCTGTAAAGGGTGTAACATTGGTATCTATACCAAATGCGCCCACCCCAATGAAGCCACGTGAACTACCTACAGAATCATGGATTGACGTGGCGGTAGACTTCCTAGGCCCTCTACCGAGTGGCCATTATCTATTTGTGGTCATCGACTACTTTAGTCGTTATAAAGTCCATAACAGCATCTAATACAGTTAGCTGCCTCAAATAAATCTTCTCTAGGCTAGGTTTCCCAGTTTCGATTGCAGCAGATAATGGGAAGCAATTTATTTGTGAGGAAATCACACAATTCTGTAAGGATGCAGGAATTAAGGTATATAACACGATACCATACTGGCTCCAGCAGAATGGACAAGTCGAGCGACAGAATAGAGACATTTTAAAAAGGCTCAAAATCAGTCGAATACAGAAAACAGACTAGAAGCAGGACCTGTTGGATTACCTAATGATGTATAACGCAACACCACATACAACAACAGGAAAACCGCCAGCAGAACTTTTCTTTAGGAGGCAATTCCGAGACAAAATACCAGCAATTCCAACTTTGAACAGTTCTATCGTAGACGAAGAAACTCGAGACAATGATTTGATAAACAAATTTTGGGGCAAGAAATACAGCGACGCCAAAAGAAAAGCAAAAGCGGATGACATCCGAATAGGAGATCAAGTTTACGTAAAAAATACAGTAAAGGAAAATAATTTGGTACCAAATTTCAACTCAACGCCTCATACGGTGGTAAAGAAAAATGGTAGTGACGTCCAAGTAGAAAACGACGAAACTGGCCAGCAATACAGACGTAATGTCGTCCATTTAAAAAAGACAGAGGGGCAATGGAAAGTAATAAACACTGCAGGGGATGAGGAAACTTCACTTGAGCAAAATAATGAACACCATACTTAAGTCGTAACATTGTACATTTCACACAGGCCATTAAATAAGATTATATATTTTCAGCTAGGTATTAAGTTGTCATTGTTAGTTAGTAAGGTAGTACTTTAGTTTGCTAAATGCATTCAAACAATATAGGGTAGTTATAACTGATTTGTTACTATAAATGTAAAATAATGTAAACAAAGAAGGGATGTAGTATATTGAATGAATAAAAGATCTATTCCCCCGCTGGGTGAACGACGGAGACGAACTTGCCGTCTTATCAGCGAGTCAGTCGGTCGAGCACACCCGCCGGGAGAAGGTCGTACCGAGATATCTGTGTATCATTGTGTGACTGGAAACGAACGTAAACAATAATATTATTTTCATGACACTACACTGTACTTACAGTATTTCTGAGAATGTTTCCCTCAGTTCGTTTTTTAATTTGCAATTTTGCGAGTTGCAATCAATTTTTCAATTTGAAACCTTTATTTTATATACAGGATGATCATTTGGAAACTTGCCACCACGGATTTATCGAAAACCACTGATTAAAAAAAAACCGCAAAGACACGTCAAAAGATTTGTCAAGGGGGATAACTTTTTAACTGAATACCACTTCACCCTCACCCCCCCCCCCTCCCCTGCCGGGGTCATTCCCTTAAACATTTTAAATGACAAAGGGTATCGAGTAATAGCTTCTTTGAAAGATCTTTTGAAGTTTCTCAGTTTGAAGTTTGTTTTTTTAAATCAGTCGATTCGTTTTCGAGAAAACTAGAAAAATTGTTCACATATAAAACAAAAACACACGAAAATATCACTTTTTATTTCAATGAGTGTTCAAAATGTTTTCTGTTAGGGTTTGCCAAATCAACAATTCGTGTTATAATTTAAAACGGAAACTACCAACAAAAACGGCAATTCGGAAGATTAGACGTGGCAACAGCCAAATTTTTTCCGTATTCTTTCCATCAACACAAATATCCTGGACGAACTGTATTTATTGTTATACCTGTTCAGTTATTTGCTGCTAAGGGAAAGAAAGTATTTAATTTGATGTCAGTTACCTTTGTGACAATCTTAGGATAGTGAAAATTATTTAATTGATTAAGATTCTACTTCCAAAATGGTTCACACACTCGCCGAAATAGTGGAAATGATTCTAATTTATGGTGCTCAAAATCAATGTGCTTGGCAAACTGTCATCACACTTAACGCCAGACATCCGGTGAAGATAACTTCGTATGTTTTGCACTTTACACAATTTACTCAAGTTGAAGTTTTGAGTCATTTTGGAAAGAATCCTAATACTTCACTAGGCTCTATACACACAGTTACTAAACTCCATAAATTCCATCAATTTAAGATGAAGATATTGCAAGAGTTAACCGAAGATGATTTCGATAGGCGAGTTGAGTATTGTGGACAAATGGCTGCAGCGATTAATGATAATACCATTCATGTAAAAAATATTTGCTTCAGTGATAAATGCACATTATAACTGCAGGTATTGGAGCAATGAAAATCCTCATGCATGTAGAAAGGCTTAACCAGTACCCCCAAAAATTTAATGTATGGGCAGGCTTTTTAGGAAACAAAGTGGATTGGGCCATTGTTTATTAACCCAGATATGCCTAATGACCTATATGTAGTACATCTCAAACTTGTCAATTCTTGTCAGAAGTGTACTACATTTTGACGAAATGGATGAATACGGCATCAGGTTTGCAAGGTAAGCTGTATTTTGATGATTTGCATTGAAGTGGATTCCATATAATGGAGCAAATTGCTACATATAAAGTCGACAGAAGGAATATGTGCTTGAGCCAGTGAATAATATTGCCTAGCTTTTTCACAGTTTAGGAAAAAATCTATCTGTCCTATATAAAGTACATACAATATACTACTGCCACGTTTTCTAAATTACCCTCAGTTTTCAGTGATATATTTATTATTATAAAATAATTGTTTATAAATAAAATAATATAAAATTATAAATATATTTGTTACAGAGGGTTTTCATTACATGAAGCCGTGGCGATGATTGAAGATGACAAAGTGCAAGCCGATACCATCACACTGTTTTCACCTAACAATGCTTCCAAAAATCTGCCAGATGAACATTCGGCGAAGAAGACAATCTATATATTAAATAACTTTTAGTTTGCGATAATAACACAACATGTATGCCATTATTTTTTTGTTGCTGCCACAGGTGTCACTCGACAAAGGACTAAGACCATTTCTAAAGGAGGAGTGCCGAAAGAAAAAAGAGGTGGGAGTCACAAATCGCAAAAAAGTGTAAATAAGAAAGAACTTGTTTGCAGTTTTCTTAAAAGATTAATAGGACGCGAAAGTCACTACAACAAATCTAAAAGGAGGTCTCCTGGATCAGACGTGTGATCGAAACAAAAATAGAAATAAGAAATCAAAATCCAGCTTCATGGCCGCCGATCGTTGTTTTAGTAGAGTTGAAAAATTACTTAAGAAGAATCCAGTGATAATTTCTAAAGAAGAGTATAATGAAGATTTATAAAGAATTTGGAAAGTAAAAGTTATAGGATCAGACTGGGAAATAGTTGATATTAAAGACCCTGAACGAATGTTAAAAAAATACCGGATATTTCATAAGAAAAACTAAAAAATTGAATAGAAATAAAAAAATGTTAATAACAACGCATCTTCCTTATAGAGATATGAATGGAAAAGTGCAGACATTGTTGAAAAAAGGAAAATCCGACCAGAACATGTCGCTTACGGTGATTCAACCAAGGAACTTTTTGCCTGACAAGAAGAAAAAAGTCTAAAGCATATATTGCAAGAACACTTTGGTTCAGAATAGGAATCGAGAAAGGATTCGGAATGGTAGAAACTTCTCGCTGTCACGATCGATGGTGCTGTAATCGAGGATGAAGAGGCAGAATGCGACTGCCTCATAGAGGAACAAGCAGTTAATATTTAAGCTTGTACAATCCAAAAAATATGTCTATTTTCTTCAGTTTTATAATTTTTTACAATTAAGTTTCACCTGTTTTGAAACAAAACCATTCATATCCAAATTATTTTATTTTTTTCCTATAGATTCCTAAACATAATCATAAACATATTGTGCTAGATCGGATCAATGCATTAATATACACAGAATAGATATATTTTGCTCCCCATAAATATAAGGTCGAATGTATCAGAAGTTTTTTCCTCCTCCTGAACAGTTTATAAAAATGGATATAGACGCTTATGAACGCAAGCTCCTCATTTATTTGGATGTGTTGGAAAATACAATCAAGTCGCTTATCACTGAAACCATCGAACACAAAACCGAAGAGGATGGAAACTATAAAACAAAGAAAATTCCATTTTCGTGTATTTTTGTTTTGCAGCTGTACAAATTATGATGAATGAAGGTTTTTCTAATTTTCTTGAAAACCAATCGACCGATTATAAAAAACCACACGTCAAAATAATCGACTTCGAAAGACCTTTCAAACAAGCTTTTACTCGATACCCCTTGTCCTTTAAAATTTCCAACAGGATGACCCTGGAAGACAGAGGGTGAAAGAGAGTGAAGTAGCCTTTGGTTAAAGAGTTGTCCCCCTTGACAAATCTGTTGACGTGTCTCGGCGTTTTCTCTTTCAATGAGTGCTTTTTGATAAATCTGTGGTGGGAACATTTCAAATTAACACACCGTATATTATGTTACATATGATGGTTTTGGCTTATATATAAACACTAAGAAAAGTATATATTACTTCTGTATACATTCAACATATGTAATTCTTAAGAATGGGGTGAAATACGAGGAGGGGGAGGATAAAACCTTTTTACAAAGTATTATTAGTATTATGAAATATACAGCACATGATGCTCAAATTTTGGAGGCTGGATTTGACATAGTTGGCTTGGGTGCTGATTGAATGATCTACTTTGGTCAAAATTGGCTTCACTGATTTGTCTTCCTTTGTGTTGTGAATTTTCTTCTGCGCCTGATCGAGGATATATACTCTTAAAGCACCTCTCTAGTTTAGGGATACCACTTTCACTTATGAGTGGGAATACAGCAGTTTTCAACCATCTTCAATTTCACTTCTATAGAAACATTCGAGCTCAAGCCAGTGATTAGAGATAGTGAGAAGCTGCTTGATTAGCTGTAAAGATTCTCTCTTTAGTAAGATCGTCCATGCTGAATGTTTTCAAATTAACAAAATTATGGAAATATACATGCGCAGATGAGCCTGTACGATTGCTGAACTTGAAGGTAAGGAAATATTTGCTGGAACAACAAATCTTTGAAAAAAGTCAAAGGAAAGGCAGACCTCTAGGCGAAATTAGCAGCAAGGCTGGTAAGCACATCAACCGAAACATCTCTGCCTCAGATACGTCTTTTCTTAGAAACAGACTCATTGAAACCTTGAATGCCAATTGCTAAAACAGTCCGTCAAAATTGCTCAAACTAAAACCCAGATTTGAACGATGGACCAGAAATATAACGAATGGAGGACACTAAACCGTCATCATCCGGCTCCGTTAAGGGCACACTCATATCACCAATGAGCCAGAGCCCATGTCAAACACATAATAGTGCAGCGCCCGTTATTACAATACCAATTATAGCACGCAATGGCCAGTAGGTCGATGCTGTTTAAAAATTAAAAAAGATATTTTTGAATTTTGGAACAAGCTCGACATGAATACTGTTGGTCTCCGCTTGACAATCTTTTACTTTCATCGCCTACAGATATTGAAAAAGCAACGGGATCCTGGAGGATCTGTTCTTATACGCGAAACCGACATATACGTATCCAGATGTGAAAGCTCACCCTGTATAATTCTAGGAACATGGCACTGCTAATACATTTGCGTTTTCCTTTTATAATGCTATTATGCGCGAGACAGAAAAAGCCGGTAATACCTGAAGAGTAGGCAGCGGATGGATGATATGCAAAGGGAGTACTCAAGAAACACTTAAGTTTTCCACCGCTGCGTGAGAAGCAAGAAGAGTGAAACGGTGCCCTGGCACTCCGCTGGGAGATGATAATGCCAGATTATTTCAC